TCCCCTCCTTCCCCCTTACCTGTAGCAACCAGTCTTCATTCTGGGGACAAATCGAGAAAGTATTTTTAGTTCCTGGATCTCTCATGTTCTGACCAGAAAAAATAATTAATCTACTTAAGAAAATCTTAGGGAGGTGATGGGTGACTTAAACAAATTTAACCGATTACATACTTTTCCTTTAAAGCTTTATTTATTTCTGGGGGGGGGGGGGGGGGGGGGCTGGGCTCCGGGGTCGATTGCATTGCAACTGGTTATATAAGTAAGGAAATGATAGGAGTAGAGAGAACAGATGAATCCCCCAGTGCCTTGCTCCTTGATGTTTCCTGGGCGATCTTCTCTAACTTTTCTAGATAGTCATAAAGGTCCTTTCAAAGATGTCAATGTAGAATTTTCTATTAGTGCGAAGTGGTTTTTTTTTTTTTAGGAATTAAGAAGTATTATCTTAGAATAAAGATTAAACACAAAAACAGTGCCCACTCCAGAATCCATTTTATCGGTCACATCTATTCGACTGATTCCATAAAAAATAAGATGAGAACACAGTCTAGGTGTGAGTCCAAAAATGCATATGCACCGATTGGCCCTTGTACAGTTTCTTCATCCTCGGGTTCTACCTCCCGCACTCCTTTGCACGCATACGTGCCAAGAGCGTGGATAAACTGCCCGGAATGAAAACCTGGGGCTCCCCATGATTATGTGCACTTGTGCCTGAAGACTCACTACTGGTTTTTGTTGGGCAAAATGACTGAGAACCCGGTGAGAGCACTGCGCCCACGCCCGTTGGAGCTTCAGCTGTGAGCGCCCCTCCCCCTACTTCTTATAGCATTTCCCCGGAGCGTTATCAAGCAGCGATTTACTCCCAGTTGCCAGGAAGACATGAGGATGCCTTTCCAAGACTAGTCCATGTTACAGACCGTTACCTAGATCCAATTTCTTGTACTGATCATTCATGTGTCATACATTTAGGGGGGGGAGGTCGTTGGGGGCTGCGGCACCGCAAACCAACCCCCCTGTGTGGACTCTCCTATTTCCGTCTCTAAATGCGGTGTTGGAAGTGGAGCCTAGGACGTTATCGGAGCCAGCCACAAATGCCACATGAAACGCAGCAAACATCCGGAGCGGCTTCCTGCAAGCCTTGCTTTTCTCAACACGAGAGAT